AATGTGTAAGAAAATTATGTTTCACTAAAAGGGCAATAAATAATAATATTCTTAAAATCTTTTCATCCTTTTATTGTTTTAGATTATACGTTATCTAAAATCTGCAGTTCAGTTGTATTTTAATTCAATTATTTTAATAAAAATTTGCAGTATAAAGTTAAAACTGATTTCTTAAATTTCTTCGCAAAGAATTGACTCTCGTACGATTAATGTAATGTGATCAATTCATATTTATCTACTGTCAATTGTGCAATGTAATGTACAAACATATCTATACTTTAATTATATAAATTAATTACAACCGTAATTAATATTTATTAATATTTATTAATATTTTACCTAATTTCACCATAAATACGAAAATTATATAAATAAAACGTAATAACAATCGCGTACGTAAAGATAGGTTTCTATTTTATACATGCAGTACAAATATTGTGGATTCAAATGGATCCTGCGTACACCATAAGCTCACCGACCTTTCTAAATGAGAAGTTAGTCTTGTGATTCATTTTTACACCTGCATCAACGTAGGAGTAGATTGGAAAGTTACTTCTATGTTTTGATCCACTAATAAGGAGCTATGTACATATGTACAGTCGAAAGCATCATTTTACGGTAAAATGATAAGATAATTACATGACATGATTTTGTCTTTTACAATTCTTTGTTGGGTGTAGTAATTATTAAATGCGACATATACACATTACTTTGTCTATTAGTAACAGCAGTTGATGTTGGTTTTGGAAAGAAAGTAATTAAGAATGGTATTATTCATCTTTATCTGTATACATATAAGGTCAGACTATCACATTTAAGGAATGCTGATGACATTGTGAAAATGATGTAATCTATTTCTTTTCCATATAAGAAATTTACAATATAAAGGAATTCTTTATTAGGTAGGCAATTTAAGATATGAATGAAGAATAGTGTGTGTGTGTGTGTGTGTGTGTTACGCGCGCGCGTGTTAGGTCATCATAAGAATGCAACTTTTCCGGTAACTAACTTTTTACACTATATCCTAGGGTGTATTGTAACATCCTATATAGGGTGTTCGGCAATTAGTGAGCCAAAATGATGATCCTATGTAATAAGAAAGACAAAATCAAGAGTATCGAAATTACTGTTTTTAATTGTTATTTCAAAACGTACATTTCAAATATAAATATATAAGCCGAATTGTGATTTATAGATTGTGTGGGATATTTTCAAAAAATCTCGGATATATGGGATATAACCGGGCGTAGACTGTTTATAAAAATAAAAAAAAAATTGATAATAATGTGCTCCTATGAATTTTAATCAATAAAGTAAAACTATTCTTGAAATTTGTCCAACTTGCTAACGAATATTTTGTGTAAATGTTTTAACATGAAGTTCTTGAAAAATGTCAAATCGTTCGCCACTTCAAGTTGAATGTTGTTACTTACTACATATGTTTATACTACGGTATGAAAAATAAGTTTGAAGCAAGATTCAAATCTGTCAAACTGTATGAAACTTTGCAGTGATTTTTATACTGTATATTTATATTTAATATAAATTTACGATATTCACAGTACAATAATTACTTATACAAAAAGCAAAGTAATATCAAATATTAAAATAACTATACTTTAATAAAATTCATATAAAGGATAATAAAACTAATAGAATTTATTATTAAAATATTCATAATAAATAGACTGTAGATTTTCATGTATTTAGAGCATTTGTGAAATTTTAAAATTAAAGAATGTGCGCATATTAACAAAAATTAATATTGTTTTTCTTATATTAGAGAATCTTAGGAAATTCATTATTCAAGAAGAATCAATTTTTTTTTTTTTCGTATTTTCAGGGGATGTCCTATGAATGCAAGAATTTGTGTCTGTGTGTGTGTGTGTGCATAAACATCCGCTGTCAAGTCATAACAGTCGTAACACAATTTAACTTTAATCTTTTGTTTAC